AACTGAGACTTAGAGAAGCTGGGCAAGTTGGTAAGTGGCAGAGCTAGGATTCACATTCTGCCTAGCTGAAGAGCCTAGGTTCTTTCTACCAGCCCCTTCTCCCCTTCACACACACACACCAGTCTTGCATCACATTGACTTTGAGGACTGTCATTTTCATATTTCTGGGCTTAGCTCTGTAAACACAATGACAGGAATGGAATTCAAGGTTTATTTTCTTTTTGTTTTGTTTTGTTTTGTTTTTTTCCTATGCCCAGTGATCCAGATGTACAAATAAGTGGGCTTGTTTTGCATTTTTGACATTTGAAAAGAAATTCCATGTTGCTAGTGCTCATGAATGTGCCTTAGGGCACTTGGGGGTTTCTACTCAGATCTTCTTTCAGGCTGCATTCTTTTCCCATGGACCCCAGGGACTGTGGAGAAGGCTCCCCCACTGGATCTGCCTGGAGCAAGCTGTGACTGTGGGAGCCAGAGGCTTTTGGACTGGTTTCAGCTCTGAGCTGGAGGATGCCATGAAATCACATGATGTTTGGACTAAAAGGGCAAGCCAAAGAATGTCTCTCTCAGCCTGCCCTGGCCAGTGAAATCCAAGCAGTGAGCAAGTGGGTGGGTCCCTCCAAGTTGCTGCTTCAGTCCACTAGACATGCAAGGGCAATGGAAGAAAAAGATGAGTCTCTAAGCCAGGCCCACTGGGGCTGCTATCACTTAGCAAAATTCCAAAACCAGTTAGTGAGAGTCAGGACATACAGGGAAGGATGGTGGCAGATCCCAGAAGGAAACTTTTAGATCCTCTGGTTAAATCTCCTATACTAGAGGGAATGAGGGTGGTGGTGATGATGAAAATAGTAAGCTAGGAGGATAAGGGATATAACCAATATTTTATAGATCATTTGGGTAACCAGGACTAGATTCCAGGTGTCCTAACCCCAAGGCCAGGTAGGAAGCCCCCAGGAGCAGAGGGCAACCTTAGTCTAGGGTATTAGTTGGTGGCATGTGGCCACTATTTCTGAGCAGCATTGTTAATTAGATCATTTGTTCTAGGGCCTATTTCTTCAGACTTTAGTCTGGATGTCATGGAGAATAAAGGTTCGTAGAGAAGAAAAGTCAGCTTATTGCTGATAGAGAGAGCGAGGATACTCTCAATTTCTACCCTCTTCCCGGTCGCTTCCACTTTTCCTTCCTTATTTCAAATCTTCCGATTCTTCTGGATTAGAGAAAGAATAAAATAGGGCTGTCCTATTGTTACTTTTAGAGTGTCATTTCTCTAGACCACTAAGGGCTCATACCAAACAGGAGCGTTAATTTAGCCTTCACTCACCGACCTGGGTCTCTGTGCTCCTGTCACCTTTTGAAGTCCTCCCCAACACCTACCAGATGTTCCTTGGCTTCCTACAGTGAGCCGGGAGTCATGACACGGTTGAGTGTAGCCATGAAGGCACAGATCTATGTTGAATCCTGGCCCAACTTGGTTTTAGATATTGGGACAAATTATACTAAATTGTAGATATGTAGCTTTTTAAAAAAATTAAACTTCTTATTTAAAAAATGATTATAGATTCACACACAGTTGTAAAAAATAAAACCGATCCCATAATCACTTTTACCCATTTTTACATAATGGGACCACTGTGCGAAACTAGAATCTAATATCAAAACCAGTATGTTGACATCAATGCAGTCAAGGTACAGAACAGTTCCATCACCACAGGATTCCTTGTGTTGCTCTTTTATAGGCACAATTTTCCCCCTCCTTCCTGGCAACCTGTTCTCTATTTCTATAATTTTGCCATTTCAAGAAAGTTCTATAAATGGAATCATACAGTATGAAACATTTTGGGATGGCTTTTTTTAGTCAACATAATTCCCTGGATATTTTGTTGCCAAATCAATAGTTTGTTACTTTTTATTGCAAAGTATTATTTTGTCGTGTGGAGGTACCACAGCTTGTTTAATCATTTGCCCATTAAAGGACATCTGGGTTGTTTCCCTTTTTGGCTATTAGGAATAGAACTGTTATGAACATTCATGTATAGGGTTTTGTGTGAACATAAGCTTTCCTTATTTCTGGGATATGTACCCAAGAGTGCAATTGCTGGTCTTATAGTAGTTGTTTGTTTAGTTTTATAAGAAACTGCTAAACTGTTTTCTAGAGTATCTGTACCATTTTACATTTCTACTAGCAATGTATGACTGGTCTAGTTTCTCCCTCTACATCCTTGCCAACATTTGGTGTTGCCACTATATTTCATTTTAGCTTCCTGATAAGGTGCGTAGGGATATCTCATTGTGGTTTTAATTTGTGTTTTCTTAATGGTTAATGATGCTGCATATCTTTTCATGTGCTTATCTGCTATCTGTATATCCCCTTTAGTGAAATATCTGTTCATGTCATTTGTACACTTTCTAATTGGATTTTTTAAATGTTGAGTTCTGAGAATTCTTTATTTATTATAAATACTAGTCCTTTGTTGGATATGTGGTTTGCAAGTAGTTTTGCCCAGTCTGTAGCCTGTCTTTTCATCCTCTTAACAGGGTCTTTCACAGACCAAAAGTACTTAATTTTGATAAGGTAATTTATCAATTTTTCCTCTTATGGATCATGCTTTTAGCAACATGTCTAAGAATTCTTTGCATAGCTATAGATCCTAGAGGACTTTATCCTATTTTTTTCTAACTTTTATAGTTTTACATTTTATATTTAAGTCTGTAATCTATTTGACTTGATTTTTGTATAAAGTGTGAGGTTTAGGTTGAGGTTCATTTTTTTTGGCCAATGGATGTCCAATTGTTCTAGCATCACTTGTTGAAAGAGCTATCTTTCCTCCATTGGATTGCTTTTACACCATTGTCAAAAATCACTTGGGCACATTTATTTGGGTCTATTTCTGGGTTCTTTATTCTGTTTCATTGACCTATATGTCTAACCCTCTGTCACCACACAGTTTTGATAACTATAGAGGGAAATCAGGTAGAGTGATTCTTGTCACTTTTTTTCTTTTTCTATGGAACTTAGAACTTATGTTTTTTTACCATTTTACTTGGGAATAAATTTCAAACTTACAGAAAAGTTGCAAAAATAACAACAGTATGAAACATACCCATGTACTCTTTATCCAGATTCACCAATTATTTACATTTTGCTGCATTTGCTTTATCACTTGCCCCCCCAAACATATATATGATACTTTTTTTTCTAAATCATTTGAAGCTAAGTTGAATTCATCATGGCCCTTTATTCCTAAATACCTTAATGTGTATTTCCTAAAAATACGGATATTTTATTACATAACCACAACATACTAAACAACTCCAATAAATTTATCATTGGTGAACACTTTTACCTAATCTACTATCCATATTTCAATTTTTTTTGAAAGTTGGCCTAGTAATGTCCTTTAGAGTTTTAAGAAAGCTTCCAACACTGGGTCCGGTCTAGGGTCAGGTATTAGATTTATAGATTTAGTTGCCATGTCTCTTTAGCCTCCTTTAGATTTTTTTTTTTTTAATTTACAGAGAGAGAGCACACAAGCAGGGGGAGCAGCAAGCAGAGGGAGAGGGAGCCCAAAGATGGGGAGGGGGGGCTTGATCCCAGGACCCTGGAATCATGACCTAAGCCTAACTGACTGAGCCACCTAGGTGCCCTTCTTTAGCCTTCTTTAATCTAGAACATCTCCACAGCCTTTCCCCAACTTTTATTACATTGACACTTTCAAAGAATACTGAACCACCCCCACCCTCAGTTTTAAAGTGCAGTCCTCATTTCGGGTTTATCTTAAGATTTCCCTATGATTAGATTCAGGCTGTGCATTTGTGGCCAAAATATTACAAAGCTGATGTGTTTTTCTCTAGTGTAACACATCTGGAGGCACTCACATTTCATCTGCCTCCATTTTAATTTTGATCACCAGGTGAAGCAATTGTATGATATTTGTTTGGGCCTTAAAAATGGCAATTTCATGATCCCACCCAACATATAAACTTTATTAAGGTTTATATGTGTAACCTGCCCTTTCTGATGCTATTTTTTTCACCTATTAAGTGTGGATTAATAATTTCTCTCCCATGAGTATCATTGGGAGGGTTAAATAAGGTAATGTATGTAAAATCTGACACATAAAAAGCACCCCATAAATATTGGCTACACTTATTGCAGCCAGCAAGTGTTAAGGGATCTTGGTTTGGATCTTCCTCTCAGACATTCCAAATTACAAGCTAAATCACGACAGAGACAAAGTGGTGGGGGCAGGGGCAGCCTCAGCTCTGTCATTTCGGGTTCCTCAAAGGGAAGATGGGAAAATGCCTCCCACCCCACGGGGTGCTGTGAGGTTTAATGGCATGTATGTAAAAGTGCCTGGACCTAGACTGGGTTCTCAAAAAATCATTAGTGATTCATAAGCTGTTGTATGAGGAGAGTAGGAATATCTGTCAGACTTAACAATTAAAAAAAATATATATAATGTGGGATCATTCTGAGACAATAGCGAGGTATGAAAAAATATGGTTAGAGCCCAGAACTTGGGAACTGTCACCATTTAGCAGCTATGGGCAGATGACTTCACCTCTCGGAGCTTCAATTTTACCATTTGGAATTTGGGGATAAAAATCAGCGCACTTCCCCGGGGATTCCGGTGTTAATTAATGACGCCTAGCAGTACCTGGCACTCCATCGCCGTCTTCTGAATGAAGGACGGGGGACTAAAGTGTTCACCTGCACAGCTGCCTGGCGCTCCGGGGCTTCGTGAGGGGGCGCCTCGCGGCAGTGTCCACGCCTCGGCCCGCCGCACCCCGCGGGCTGGGCGCGAGCAGCCGGCCCCCCACCCCCATCCCCACCCCCACCCCCACCCCTGGCCGCAAGCTCCTCCCCCGGCGGCCGCGTCCACCCCGGCGACCGCCCGGCACCTGCAGACGCGCGGCGGCGGGGGAAGCGCGAGGCCACCCTCGGGCGGCGGCGGCGGCGGCGGCTGCGGCGGGGGAGGGGCGCGGGCGCACAGATGGGAGCAACTGAGAAGGGCGGCAAGAAGAGCCGGAGGCTGTTTTCTTCTCTGCGGCCGTGGAAGGCGACCCGGCGTCTGTGGAGGACGCGCTCGGCTCCCAAGGCGGCGCAGGGTGAGTGTGGTCGCGGCCGGGGGACCTGTTACCGCGCGCGGCCGGCTAGCACTGGACAGCGGGGGGGGGGCCGCGGTGGCTCCCGCAGCCGGGGGCGGCCTCTCAGGCCCACCTCTCGGCCCCGGGGACCTGAGGTTGGGGGCGGCGCGGCCTGGATGTCCGGCCTGGCCCGGGCGACCCTCCACCCTGACGCTCGGCCCGTGTGACAAGCCCAATCCCCCAAGCTCTCGGGGGGCTGCTCACCGAAGTGCGGGGGCAGGTCTCGGCACTGTCTCCTTTCTCCTTCCACCCCTTGACCCCTTAAGCATCTCTCTTTGGGCCAGGTGGTTGCAGCTTATTTCCTGCAAAAGCCCCTTCTGTGCTTTTGACTCTGGACAGAAGGAATTCAGGCTGCCTCCGGGACCCAGTCTACTCAGGTTTGCGTCCCGCCCAACACCTGGCCGGTTGCCTGCAATGCAGTAGTCATTAGGGCGAATGAATCTGGACCCAAGGCTACCTTCAGGGTCTTCCCCTTCTGGACCCACCCCCTTTCCAACCTGTCTGCGGTGATTCCCTGCTATCTCCTAAGCTCTAGTCACAGTAAACTACTTACCAGACACAGTACACCCTGTCCCCACCATGGCCTTAACTCACATTTATTTAATCACTGATTCACTCCATTCATTCCTTCCACAGTTTGTATTGAGCTCTTCCAGTGTGCCAGGGCCTGGAGTGAACAAGGTAGGCAAGGCCCAGCTCATGGCACTTCTTCTAGAGGAGGAAACAGACACAAATAAGATAGGTAAACATCCCCATTACAGATTGCTATGTGTGCTGGGAAGGAATCACGTAGTGTCCTGGGAGAGGGGAAAAAAGGCAGAGGCGCCCTGGCTTGCACAGCAGATGGACAGGGAAGACCTCTCTGAGGCAATGTGATTTAAACCAAGACTAGGAGACTGAGTAGGAGTTACTCCAGCATGGAGCCTGGGGAGAGCATTCCTGCCAGAGACAATAACAAGTGGAAAAGATTCCCCGTGTGCCTGAGCTTAGCAAGGGGAAAGTGAGGGAGGCAGGGCCTGGATCCAGGTCTAGGTAGGACATGACGAGGAGGAGTTTGGATTTTATTTCTAAAGTGAGCTGGAAAGCTACTGAAGTGTTCTCAGCAAGGACAACACATGATCTGCTAGCTCACTGCCTTGTGTGTATTTGCAATGGCCATGCCCTTGTCTCTCAGCCTACCCATCCATCAGGGATGCACAAATGCCATTTCCTCTGTGAAGCCTTTCCTGGGGTTTCTGCCACCTGTAACTTCTTTTTGAGTAGGGTATCTGTCACTGTTCATCTGGTATTACAGATTCCACGTGGGCGGGTTCTCGTCTATTTCATCTTTGCATCCCCTACCAGACTATGTCCAGGCTTGGTACTTTCTAGATACCTGTTGGCTAGTTTGTGTGTGTGTCCTGTCTTGTCCTTTCCATCTGTTTCTGTCATCAGAGGATTCTTTTTCTGAGAGGCTGACATGCCTTGATTTCTAAAATGGCCGTCCTGATCCAGGGCAGAAGCTACACTGCACCAGGGCCCTGTCATTGATACAGTCCTCAGCCCCCCGCCCTCCACCTACACCGCAGGATTGTTTTGAAGATTAAATGAATTGATGAGTTAAATGAGTTAATAATTGTAAAGTGCTGGCGCAGAGTAAACATTCTAAAACTAAATTTGACCCAATGCAAGAATTATCTTTTAAATATTTATTTATTGAGTTAGAAACAAGCTTTTCTATTGTTGATAGTTAGACTAAGGCTTGGTATTGTCATCTCCCTGGCTTTCAAAGAATGTGTTATTACTTTTAGTCAATATACAATTAAATTCCTTCCCCACTGCCATTGAACTGTGGCTGAACCTTAGTAGGTCTGAAGGCTAACCACCCTTTTACTTTAGCTTGCCTGAGGAGTTGAATAGAAGGGTCACTGCAACAAGTATTCCTTGAGTGATAATTACATGCAGAATGTAATTCCTGGTGTTGTGTGAATGTTTACAAAAGAGGACTAACTAGATATTTCTACCATAGTAAAATGGGTTAGAATAAGTCTCCTAGTTCAATAGTTTTTAAAGCCAGGTCTATACCGTGTATATGGTTGTCCTCTCCTCTCTTCTGTTTCTGTCCTAGAGGTCACCCATGGCTTCTTGGCCCCCATTGCCACACCACATCCCTTCCTTTCTTCCTTTCTTCCTTCCTTCCTTCCTTCCTTCCTTCCTTCCTTCCTTCCTTCCTTCCTTCCTTCCTTCCTTTCTTTCTTTCTTTCTTTCTTTCTTTCTTTCTTTCTTTCTTTCTTTCTTTTTAAAGATTTTATTTATTTATTTGTTAGAGAGAGAGAGACTGCACAAGCAGTGGGAACGGCAGGCAGAGGGAGAAGAAGGCTCTCTGCTGAGCAAGGAGCTGGATGTGGGGCTTGATCCCAGGACTCTGGGATCATGACCTGAGTCAAAGGCAGATGCTTAACTGACTGAGCCACCCAGGTGTCCCCATACCTCTTTTTTCTTACGTAGAATCATGATTGATCACTATTTCTCTACTTCTCCTACTCCCATACAACCTGGGGTAAGGCCATTATAATGTTTTATGTTATATGGTACATTACAGTTTATAGAATAGGTCAACTACAAGGTCTTGTTTCAATCTTAACAGCACCCTTGAAGCAGGGAGGGCAGATGGTGTTTATTTCTCCCATTTTATAGACGAGGAAGGTGAAGCAAGAGACAGAGTGACTTGCAGGGGGTCATTATGACTGGTGAGTGGCAGACTCAGGCCTGATTGCCCATACAGCATTCTTTCTGCCACATCTCCCTGCACAAAATAAACATGTCCCAAAATCTATACTTATGGAGAGAAGTAAAATTAATAAATATGATGCAATGAAAGAAATCCATATCCCCATTTTTTTTAAAGGTGGCCTGAATTTCTCATAATGGTGGGACAGCATCTCATAAGTGATAGACACCAATCTGGGCATCTAGAATTATGTGGTTTGGTGCCAGACTCTGATTTGAATCTGTCATTAGTAAGTGGCACAGTAATAAGCTGTGATCTTGGGCAAGGTGCTAAATCTTTCTAAAACTCAGTTATATGTCATATATAAAATAGAGATGATAATTCCTATGTCACAATGTTACTGTGATGATTAAATGAGTTAATGTATATAAAGTGCCTGGTACACAGTAGCATACAAGGTGGTAGTTATTATTTTTATTAATATTAGTCCAGATAGTGTACCATATGATCACATCCCAACAATGGTTAGTCACAGGGCTGGAAACCTCAGTAACCTATGGGAATAAAACATGGTTGGGAAGCTCTTTAGGGGCAGCTGTTCCTTCTGTACTAACCAGAAGGTCTTTCACACCATCCTTTTTGTTCCCACCTTTTTTTTTTTTTTCCCACCAGGAGGCTGCAAGTGAGAAGTAGTTTAGCTTTTGGGGACTCTTGGCATCTTTTCAGCCTAACACCCTGTCCTGAATATAGCAGACATTCAATAAATATGTTTGTAATGAAAAGATCCTTTAGGAGATCCTATCTATCTATCTATCTATCTATCTATCTATCTATCTATCTATCATCTAGACAAAGCCTATATATATAGCCAAAGAGAATGCATCTGAAATTTACTATATGATCACTTGTGACTGTAAGTAGGATAAATACTTTAGAAGCACAATTACTGGGTTAAAAGGTATATGCTTTTTTAATTTGGAAAAATAGCTGACCTCCATTCATTTGTGGTAATCTAGTTCCTACCAGGAGTGTGTGCGATTCTTGATTCCTTACATCCTTGCCAATATTGAGTACTGTCAGACTTTTTAATGCTTGTCAATTTCATGGGTGTGAAATGGTACTGCATGGTTGTTTTATATTGAATTTCCTTAACGAATAATGAAGTGAAGATCTTTTCACATGAATATTGGCCATGTGTGAATAAGGCCTCTTCACGTCTTTCCCCATTTTTTGTTTTAACTTGGTGCTTTGTCTTTTTCTTATCCACTTACAGTTCTTTAAGTACTCTGGATACTAATAATTTGTTGACTTATATGTCTGAACAATTTTAAAAAAATATACCTAAGCATGCAAGCTATTCCAAATGGGAATATGAACAAACTGTGCCCAATAGAAATTAACACCCCAAATGCTTCCAACCTTTCTAGAGAACTGTATTTTAGACAAATATCAAAGCTTTTAGGTTATAGAGAAGGGAGTGAACAGTTGGTGGAAGTATTTTGTAAGAAGTAGGTCTTGAAACAATGGTAGAAAACTGGCACCGAGTTTCTCCCACCAGAAATTACCTGCCCAAAATCCTGCTGGGGCAAAGAACCCTTTCCTGAGCAGCAATATTCCCCGGAAAGACAGAGACTGGAACTTGAGCCAGTCTCCATCAGCAGATGGTGCTTTCCAGGACAAGTTACTTGGAGAGGAGGACGGGTGATCTGCAGTTTAATCCTTCACTGCCATTTCTAACCATATACCCCTAAAAACAAATCACATTGAGTGGAAATAATGATTACTACTGAGGGATATTGGAAAGATCAAATGAGATCATAAATATGAAAGACCTCTGTAAATACAAGGATATTTGCTAGGCTTTGTGAAGTAACCAACCCTGTGTCAGAGTGGGAAAAACTCATTGACCTATGATCTTTAGGCCCTATTCCCTACCATCTCTTCTGCATACAGGTGCATAATTGTCCAACAGTAGTTCTCCAGGTGTGGTCTCTAGACTAGCAGTATCAACCTCTCCTGGAACTTGTTAGAAATGCAGTGTTGGCCCCCACCTCACAGCTACCAAATCAGAAACTCTGGAGATAGGGTCCAGCAATCTGTCTTAACAAGCCTTGTTGTAATTCTGATGTATGCTAATGTTTGAGAATCACTGGCCTAGCTGGATGTGCAAAGGCTTTAAAGTCAGCAAATGTGTGTTCTAAAATGTTAACTCTCTCATTTGCCAGCTGATGGCATGAGCCAAGTTACTAGG